TGCTCTGGGGATGGAGGTACCAATCTTTATGCTAATGGGAACATGATCAGAGGTAGTTTTAGCCAATGGAGTGGCAGAAGTGACAGGGTAGGAGAGAGCCCAAGATTCTGATGTAAAACACTAGTCCAGTTTTCCAAAAGTGGTGCATCCTGCATATTGCTCCAGGTGAAATTCCTCCCTCTCAAAGGGATCTCAATGAGGGCTTGATGGTTGATGGCCTCATTAAACAGAAGCATATCATTAATGCAACCCCCTTCCCTACTTCTCTTATGAGGATATCTGACATAGTTAAAATCTCCAAGGATCATCCAGTTAGCAGTGTCAGCCATTTAAAAATTATGGAACCAATTGATGAAATCTGGTCTGATATCAGGCTGACAAGGACCATAAACATTGGTGAGATACCATGATTCCCCTGCGTGAGTAGATGTGAAATGAATAGTGATGGAGTACTCATTTTCATGGAAAATTTGACCCTAGAAGAGGTGATCAGACCAAGCAACTAACAAGCCACCTGCAGCCCCAACAGATGGAAGATAGGCAAATTTGGAAAGCCTTCTGGGACAGAAATTTTTGAGGTATAGACTATCAATATTCTCATGTTTAGTTTCCTGTAAACAGATAATCAAGTAGGGAGATTCTTCAATTTTATTAGCAATAGCAGTCCACTTCTTAGGATCATTCAGTCCTCTCACATTCCAGTTCAAGATATTCCATGTTCTAGCCATAATCTAGTGAACATACACTGCAAAACACTTTCAAACAGATAGTTTCCTGGTCCTCTTTAGTACCCACAGAGTTACAAACAGTCATACAAGCACGAAAACACATAGAGCCAGTCTATGAGACAAACAGATTTATTACAGACCCAAAAGACAACAAAGTCTTATAACTGAAACTCTAGCAGCTTTGCTGACAGTAGACTGATTCTGACTGTATATGGTGGCTGTGGGTCCCTCCTTGGCCGCTGCCTGGGTCCCCATCTTGGATGTAGCCTGAGTTCCTTTGGGCTTCTTGGTTCTGTTGTTCAGTTTCTCCTCATTAGTGTCTTGGATGTTGACCTTGCAAAGAGCAGAGTTGAGATTTTTTAACAACTTTGGGATGAATGATAGGAGGTTTGGCATTACAGGCAAGACAATTTTTATCTTTACATACTGCATTCTTAAATCCTTTATTGGCTTTTTGAAGTCTACAACTTCTCCTTACCTCTGTCTCCAGAAGTGGCATTTTCTCCTTCCTCTTCCTGTTTTGATGCAGGGCAGAGGTTGAAGAAGCAGAGGTTTCCTCCTGCAAGCTGGCCTTATCTGAAGGTGTATTCTCCTGTTCAGTCTTGTCCTGCTGGGCAGAGTTAGATGTGGTGAGGTCAGATGAAGGGCAGGAATCTGGTACCACAAATGGAAGGAAAACTGTTTCATCTGCTCCTTGAGTAATGATCCCCCAAACTTTAGATGTCAAGAATTGCTTGGCCCAATCATATTTATCAGGGGAGAGTAATGTGACAGATAAAAAGTTTACCCAATCTGAAGGTACTTGGATTATGTTCATACTGGCCATGGTTGTGGCAAAATGTTTCTTCCGAATGATGGAGCCTTCTTTTCCCAGCAGATCCTCTACTTCCTCGTCTGCATGTGATTGAGGTTCACAAAGAGGTAAATATACAGGGTCAGGAAATCCAGGTGGTGCAGTGGTGTCAGATGAACACTCACCCTGGGTTTCAGATGCCCTCTGTTCAACAGTGTTCAGAGTCTGCTGGATCTCAATGGGACTGATATCAGGGATTATATGCTCTAGCACAGGGCCTGCAAGTTCTGTCATAGCAGTCTGTTGATTGAAGTTGCAGCAGCCAGTCTCAGGGGCAACAATAGCTGTGTCTATCAGAGATGGGTTCGGTACAGTAACTCCTCTGTCATTTTCTTCTGGCAGAGGGATAGCCTGCAGATCTTCCAGCATCAGAGGAGAAGTGGTAGCAGTGTTCTGTCCCACAAAAACTGTTGAGGCTTCCAGCAACATGGGATCATTACTGTTTTCAGTAGCTGCAATAGAATCCATAATCACTGCAAAGAGGTGAGAGTCTTCCCACCCTAACGCAGGAACAATAGGCAAGATTAGTGGGCCTGGGGGAGCAATTTGTTCTTCTCCCTGCAGCCCAGCAAGCAGATTTAAATCTCGGATGTTAATTGGAGGCCCCAATGGCCCATTAGCAGAAGCAGCTGTGTCTGCACTCTGGAGTGGAGGTGCTAAAGAAGCTGTAATATTACTGTTGTTATCTCCCAGTTGCAGGTTTTCGACGACTAGCTGTGCATTCTCATCAAGTGGTGCCACAATATCCTGATGTGCCAAAAACTCACCATGGTGTAACTCATGATCAATCTTCATATTATCTTGAGGCAGAGCCCAATGACCCTAGCCTGGCATCTCATCTTCATCCTCCTCAATCTCCATGTCTTGTAGGTCTTGGCCATTATGCAGAGCTAACTAAAGGTTCAGGTTGTGGTTGGGCTCATGCTGGTGTAGTTGATTATGCACCTCCTGTTCATGTTTCTGGAGGGGTCCAAGGAAATGATTGAGTTGATTCGGGTGGTGGTTGGCCTGATTTGGGATAGGGTGTGGGTTGCCAAAAGGGGGGACTGGATCTTCATCAGGTGGGAAAACCCCCAAAATAGCCTGCTGGAGGATAACCATAGGAACCGTCAGAGAGCCAGTCTGAAAATTATCCCCTTCTCCGAACACAATACTAGCTGGGATGTCACTTAATTCCTCAACACGGACTTGGACCATCAAATTGGCTCTAGTACTCCGGACTCGATCCCACATAATGAACTTGCCGAATTTAGAAACTGCATCATTAACCTCCCCAATGCCGCGCTTATCAAAGGGGAAACCACACAGCAAAATCCAAACCTCTCTGTTTAAGGTAAGCCTTCTCCAGTTCATCCCTTTGTTGTGTTTCTCAAAGATGACATGCACATCTGTAAACTGATGGGGACTATTATTAACCAGCGAATCTCGATCAAACACACTAGCGAGCTTGATGTATGCTTGTACAAAAGGGCACGGAGAAATCTTAGAGAAACCCAGTTGCTTATCTGTGAGAAATTCAGAGAGTACCTCACGGATTGTGTCGAACTGCACGGGAAGATTGGGCATTGGAACAATCGTCGCAATGGCCCACTCTTCATGCATGGGCGTCGCAGTGCCAGAGAGCACCTTGATTCTTGCTGGTCGGCCTGGAACGTCAATGCGTTGATGGTTGGGGGGGGGAGGAATGGCGTCGGGTCGAAGGGGAAGGCAACCATGGTGGCGGATGATGGTGAGTGGACAGGAGGTGGTGGAGGAGGCTGCAGATTTGAGAGGGGTAATGGATTACCCTGAATCACAGCAGAGCGGAGGCGTTGTGCAATGGAATTTGGAGCGGCAGCGTAATGAGAGGCACCTACCAAAGGTGGCAAAATCGAGGCGTCTATGCCAGAAGAAGTGTATCTTGCGACGGGCTGATTAGTCACAATCACCGGAGCAGCGGACGGCTGCCTCGCATTGACTGGTTGGGTTGTACGTTGGGCCGGGGATGGTATTCTAGCGCGTGGAGGATGGGCTGTCTGGTTCTGTGGATTGGGCCTGTTGAAACAGTCCCTGGCAATGTGACCCCAGCGTTTGCAAGCCCGACACTTAATACGGTTAGTATAGGCCGGGCGAGAGTGGCCCGGTAGCAAACAGCGAACGCAAAATGGGTCTGAGCGGGCTATGTGGACTTGATTGGAGGTTTGAATGCCCTGAGTTCCCGCCCGGCCAGTAGTAATGGCAGCATCAATGGCGTGATTATCGCGTGACAGAGAATGCGGTGAATTCAAACGATGAGGAGGAACCTGAGATGAACTAAGATCTTGATTCTGAGAAGCAGTGAATCTAGCAGGAGATCTAAGTGCTTGCACATATGACATTCTAGGATGTTTCCGAAAGATATGGGTCCACTCATCCTCTTTCTCTTGAAGATATTGGTCTAGTTCCCAGGAAGAATTAGGGCCCCCCGAACCCCAAAGCAGGAAATTGATATTGAGGATTGGGAGTGAAATGTTACCTCCTTTGATGATAGAGAAACCCACTTCTTTAGAAGATACTGAGAATTTAAATGACCAATTTTGGAGTAATTTCACCTTGAACATAGAGGCTCTTCCACCAAAGCAAGATAGAAGGATCGTGGCCACAGATTCTTCAGTGAGACGAATGCGAGAACGGGTGAATTCAGCCACTAGGAAGAACTCTTGCAGATCCTTGTCCTCTTCAAAGTTAATGGGAACACCCCATTTCCTCCAAACGTCTTGTTCAAATGCTTGGCCGACGCCGAAGTTCAGATCAGAGAGAGCCATGGCGACAGTTATGGTGGCCGACGTGTCCGGAGTGGATCACGTCGCAGCAGCGGTGGTTGGCTCCCGCCGTGGCCCGAGGGCCGGCGGGGAGGCGGGGAGGGCGTGGGAGGTGGGAGGTGGGAGGCAGCGAAAACGGAGCGTAACAACTCTTATAATATAAAATATGAACAGGTTTGGAGATAATATAAAATATGTTCTTTCATCAACAGAACATACATCAAACCAAGCTGAATTTAGGGTTCATCAGTTACACACCACACACACTGGGTTGACGCGCACCGATGCGCACAAACCCTCTTATTACAAATAGTGTCATCAAACCAAGACAAACCAGCTGGGTTGTGAATGTCACACCCAAGCCGTGGAAAGCCGACACTCCAAGTAGCAGCACAAGACACCAATCCAATCCAGCATATACCAAGATGAAGGCAGCTCGGTGAAAAAGAAACACACCATTTATTCACCGTGCAAGCAGCAGCAGCGGCGGCACAAACGCACTTAATTTGGAAACACACATGCAGCTGGAGAAACACTCTGGACCAGGACTTGTAGCAACAACAAACTGATGCTTCGCCTAACCCAACCTCCTTGCATTGCACCAGAGAGCAACACACGCCAGAGCAGCGCATCAGCAGATTACCTGAGAAATGAAGAACGAAAACATTGGTGCTTGGTTAATGAACATTTGTCATAAAAAATTCTTACCTATGAGACACTAATGTGCGACGGACCTTAGATAGGAGCCCCTTGGGAGGGTTTTCTTGTAGTAGGCCGAGTGGTGCATTTCGAAGAGCGACGGGTCATGTCCGGCATCCAGGCCATCCCACTCGAGGTTGTCCCACAAGTCCTTCTCACAGTCCACCACCGGCTTTGGGCCTTCACGCGCTACAGCCGGAAGGCGCCTGAGACCCCAGCAGTCCCTGATGCCGACCGTCTGCAACGCAGGTGCAGTCAATCTGGCCTCACATATCTGCTCCAGCTTGTGAAGATGGTGTAGCTTGATGTACTTGAGGTTGTGGAATGTGACACCAGATGCTATTTCCTCATCCTCAGGGAACTCGTGGTCCGTTGGGAAAACATGCCGGAGGTTACTGCAGTACGCAATCTGGAGGGTCTCCAGGCTGGGCAAGGTGCGGCAAATGGGGAAGGCGAACACCAGCCTGGGGCAATTGTAGAGGTATATGTGCTGCAGCTGTTGGTGATAAGTATCACTAGGCCAGATGCAATAGGCCACGAGGAGATCCGACGCTGAAAACGTCTTCATACCATATCCACCCCGGGAAGAAAACAAGGAGTGTAGCCTGGGGCACCTCTCAACATGACACCATTCTAGTCTGCTCCAATGTACTCCTGGGAAAGCAGTGATGGAGGAATTGTCATGCACATGCAATGACTGAACATGGAGCACGAAAGCTCTGAAATTTTCACTACCCTCCATACTCCCTAAATTGTAGCTTCCTTCACCAATCTCGATATGCAGATCGAAAGTTTGAACCTGGCGACAGTACCACACTAAGGACGAGCAAGTTACATCTTCAGCAAGGGGGATATCATCATATGGTAACAGCGACCTTGTTGCAACCAAATTATCCTCTTGGCTAGAGCCAATACCTTGGATACTTCTGGTGATATTGGCTTGGCTATGGCTTGTACAAGAGATAAGGAGGTAGAACTTGAAGTGACCTCCTAGCCATGTATAGATTCCATCAAGGGCCGACCAAATGAACCTTCCATCTGAAAATGCAATACATGCCTGAAAGATAAATGATCTCTGTCCTTCACAGCAGACCATTGATCTTTTCTCCCCATGCGTGTCCACATGTAGAACTTCCAACCTCTGACACCACTTCCATCTTAGACAACGGAGATGCTCACAGCCCTGTAGGAATAGCTTCTTGAGTTTCGGGAAATCTATTATAGTGAAATGGAGGTCAAGTGATTTAATGGCTGTACCAGAGAGGTCCAGTTTCTCTAGATTGGGCAATCCACGAAGGAATATGTTTCGCAATCTTCCACAACCGTGTAGGGAGATCTTGGTCACCTTGGCTATTTTAATTGGAGCTATAGGATCTTTGAGGCGCATGTCCTCTTGGGGTAGATGTACAGGATGTGACCAATTCTCTGCGAGACAATAACCATCGAAGCTAAAGCTTTCAAGCAGTGGTGGTGCTTCTTCCATGGCCAGTGCAACATGCTCCAAGTTGGAACAACCATCAAGAGAAAGCATCTTCAAGGTTTTTGCCGATGACAACGTCGGCAGTGATTCCATGTGAGTGTTGCCAGATAAGTCAAGAAGCTCCAAGTTCATCATATCTACAAAAGAGCAACTGTCCACCGTAACCACATCTGAAGATCCGGTTACCCGGAGCTTGTGAAGCTTCTGTAGCTTTTTCCAACCATGACTCATAGTCTTCCACGAGATCCCCTTTGTATTTAGCTCCCTGAGATTGGCCATCGATTCAATAATCTGAGGCCACAAACCATAAGCTGTGAAACGCAAGTCAAACACCAACAGGTTTGAAAAACTTTGCCATCCACTTTGCTCCTTCTCCCGGCCTGTGTTTGCACAACGGTCAAGCCAAAGGAATCTTAGGTTGTGGCAGCACCCGAAAGGAGGGGATGCAAAATCGAAGCTGCAGTTGCAGAGTTTTAGCACACGGAGGCCGCCACTAGCTAGTTGAAACAAATCATTACGTACATGTACTGGACCATCTCCCTGACATGTTAAAAATATGATGATGCACTTCCAGGAACATTAGAGATGTCTTTTGCTCTTAGTTTGCTGGAGGTGACTGAATACCACCCCTTATAAGATTTTTTCCGTTCACCCAAATAGAATGACTTAACTAACATTGCATCATGATCAGTAGAATTGCCCAACCGCGGTATCACTCCATACAATGCATTGCCAATCTCCCAACTGTTTTCCTCACCAAGGATTCCATCACATATCCAGTAGTTGCAAGCATGAGTAGCCCAACCATAGTCAACATCAGTAGAGTTTTCAGGTATTTGTGCTGTCAGGAACAATGTGTACAAGAAGCAATCCAAAACTATTTCTGGGTTGATGCCATCCATACCAATGTCACCAATCACTCCAACGGCATCTTCATGCAATACACGATGAAGCATTGTCTTTTCTTGTATATCTTCAGCCAAATCATGCATATCAATATAAATATTAACAGAAGTGGTGGGCATCTCAACTTGACTTTATCTCTCTGGATGGCCTCAAATCTTTTATCAGTGGTCCATAACAATTTACCTTTACCAAAAAGTGGAATGCCAAATTGCACTAGATCGATATCTTCAATTCCTCCATAATGAAAAATTATCAGAAATCTTTCATTTCTCAAAGTCCCATTAATCAAACTGCTGATACTTGATATTTCTTCTCTAGAGCTGTTATCAACCCCCCTAAAGTCATCTTCTACAACGTGCTTATCAGTTATGTGCATTACATGGTGAAGTTTCAACTCCTCAATGATTACCCTCTGCAAGGTCCTTCTATTTTTCCACGAGGAGCAGTCCACATGGACAATTCTACCAAAATGTTTTCTTGTGTCAGAATCATCACTTGTTGCTTTTAGGAGTTTGGCTATAGTCGCGAGAACACCAGATGATCCCAGCTCGTCAAAGGGCCAACTTCGAATGATAAATGCTTTAGTTTGCCCTTCTGCAGTACCATCACTTCCATGCAGAATATCAATTAGTTGTTTGACAACGTCATCAAAGTTCTTTACCACATGTCGTAATTAATGGTTGTTATGCACGATTGCCAAAATGCATAGACTGGTAATATAATTTGAGTTAATTAGCAATGTTTAGGAAATCGTTAACCGGTAGCTGCTCGCTCAGCTTGGGATGATCTCTTAACTGGATTAATCAGTCAACCATTAATCAGTGGAATTTTGAACTCAATAGGCGTAATTTTTGTATGGATGAATTTGTTCAATAGAACTTGAATGCTTTAAAAATATACATTGCAAATATGAAGCAAGTGGCACCGTTTTCTTTTCTCAATGGATCAATCATCAACAAGCATCCATGGGAAGAAGGGGGAGTAGCAGCGCACAAAGGGAGGAGAGGAAGAGGCAATACACAAAGGAGGAGGGAAAGTGGCGGTGCGTCAACAAGGACCTAGCCAACTGCCATTTATGTCGAGAGGGGATAGAGAAGCGAGAGGTGGTGGGAGGAGGGCCAAACCCTAGCTATATAGGAGCAGGAGGGGTGCTGGGAGGGGTTACGGGCCAAACAATTGGCCTTTGCTTGCGCACAAATTAATGGGCTAGCAGCGATTAATCGGCCTGAGAACCGATTAATCAGTCCGACATGCCATTTAATCGTCCTGACAAGTTAACACCGAGTGGGGCACGATTCTTGAGATGTGGTGGAATGTAGTTCCTGTAATTCATGTAATAACCAGTACTACCGATGGCCAGGGCGGTTGTACAGCTCAGGTTGCCACTAAAGGAAATATGCCCTAGAGGCAATAATAAAGTTGTTATTTATATTTCCTTATATCATGATAAATGTTTATTATTCATGCTAGAATTGTATTAGCCGGAAACTTAGTACATGTGTGAATACATAGACAAAACAGAGTGTCCCTAGTATGCCTCTACTTGACTAGTTCATTCATCAAAGATGGTTAAGATTCCTGACCATAGACATGTGTTGTCATTTGATGAATGGGATCACATCATTAGAGAATGATGTTATGGACAAGACCCATCCGTTAGCTTAGCATAATGATCGTTTAGTTTTATTGCTACTACTTTCTTCATGACTTATACATGTTCCTCTGACTATGAGATTATGCAACTCCCGAATACCGGAGGAATACCTTGTGTGCTATTAGACGTCACAACGTAACTGGGTGATTATAAGGATGCTCTACAGGTGTCTCCGAACGTGTTTGTGGGGTTGGCATAGATCGAGAGTAGGATTTGTCACTCTGAGTATCGGAAAGGTATCTCTGGGCCCCCTCGGTAATGCACATCACTATAAGCCTTGCAAGCAATGTGACTAATGAGTTAGTTGCGGGACGATGTATTACGGAACGAGTAAAGAGACTTGCCGATAACAAGATTGAACTAGGTATGATGATACCGACGATCGAATCTCGGGCAAGTAACATACCGATGACAAAGGGTACAACGTTTGTTGTTATGCAGTTTGACCGATAAAGATCTTTGTAGAATATGTAGGAGCCAATATGAGCATCCAGGTTCCGCTATTGGTTATTGATCGGAGATGTGTCTCGGTCATGTCTACATAGTTCTCGAACCCGTAGGGTCCGCACGCTTAATGTTTGATGACGATTTGTATTATGAGTTATGTGTTTTGGTGACCGAAGTTTGTTCGGAGTCCCGAATGAGATCACGGACATGACCAGGAGTCTGCAAATGGTCTAGAGGTAAAGATTGATATAATGAAAGGTTATATTCGGACACCGGAATGGTTCCGGAGTGATTCGGGTATTTTTCGGAGTACCGAGGGGTTACCGGAACCCCCCGGGAAAGTTAATGGGCCTTATTGGGCCATAGTGGAGAGAGGGAGGAAGGCCACAAGGTGGCGCGCGCCTCCCCCCTGCCCAAACTAGATTGGACAAGGGGTGGGGGGCGCGGCCCCTCCTTTCCTTCTCCCTCTCCCCTCCTTCATTTCCCTCCGGTGGGAGAAAGGAAGGGGGGGGGGGGCGAATCCTACTTGGACTAGGAGTCCAAGTAGGAGTCCCCCATTGGCGCGCCCCTCCTGGCTGTCGGCCTCTCTCCCCCTCCTTTATATATGTGGGCAGGGGGCACCCCAAAGGCACAACAGAAAATCTCTTAGCCATGTGCGGTGCCCCCTCCACAGTTTACTCCTCCAGTCGTAGTGCCATAGTGCTTAGGCGAAGCCCTGCACGGATGACATCACCAACACCGTCGCCACGCCGTCGTGTTGACGAAACTCTCCCTCGACCCTCTACTGGATCAAGAGTTCGAGGGACGTCATCGAGCTGAACGTGTGGTGAACACAGAGGTGCCGTACGTTCGGTACTTGGATCGGTTGGATCATGAAGACGTTCGACTACATCAACCGCGTTAACCTAACGCTTCCGCTTTCGGTCTATGAGGGTACGTGGACACACTCTCCCCTCTCGTTGCTATGCATCTTCTAGATAGATCTTGCATGAGCGTAGGAATTTTTTTGAAATTGCACGTTCCCCAACAGTGGTTTCAGAGCCAGGTCTATGCGTAGATGATATGCACGAGTAGAACACAAAGAGTTGTGGGCTATAATAGTCATACTTCTTACCACCAACGTCTTACTTTGATTCGGCGGTGTTGTTGGATGAAGCGGCCCGGACCGACATTACATGACCGTGTTCATGAGACTGGTTCTACCGACGTGCTTCGCACACAGGTGGCTGGCGGGTGTCTGTTTCTCCAACTTTAGTTGAATCGAGTTTGACTATGGCTGGTCCATGTTGAAGGTTAAAACAACACACTTGTCGAAAAATCGTTGTGGTTTTGATGCGTAGGTAAGAACGGTTCTTGCTAGAAGCCCGTAGCAACCATGTAAAACATACAACAACAAAGTAGAGGACGTCTAACTTGTTTTTGCAGGGCATGTTGTGATGTGATATGGTCAAGACATGATGCGATATAATTTATTGTATGAGATGATCATGTTTTGTTAAAGTTATGGGCAACTAGCAAGAGCCTTATGGTTGTCGCTTTATTGTATGAAATGCAATCGCCATGTAATTGCTTTACTTTATCACTATGCAGTAGCGATAGTCGTAGAAGCAATAGTTGGCGTGACGACAATGACGCTACGATGGAGATCAAGGTGTCAAATGTTGATCTTGAAACAACAGAGACCGGCGAGGTATATTTATATAAGCAGGCATCTGGTGATCATCACATGTTTTAAATGATTTGAAGATATATTAACGAATCGATCTTCTTCTTTCAGCCCTCCGGATCGAGCAAATCTTCTACAGACAGCAGGACAGTACGAGGCCCGGCCAAAAAGTTGAAGGAGGGCATAAAGTACAACATCGATGCCATCAAACCTAATGGCAAACCAATCACGCCTAAGAAAATTGCGAACAAGTTCATTCATCAATGCGGAGTTCTTGTGAAGGACCAACTCCCGGTCTTCCTTCAAGAATGGAAGGAGACAACAAAGAAACGTCTAGATCTTACTTTTGTCGACGACAGAGCAAAACATCGGTTTTGGGAAACTCTCATGGAACATTTCACCCTACCAGAGCATTTCATAGATGCAGATGTGCAGAAAGTCAAGGACGCTGCTCTTAGGAAGATGGCAATTGCATTCAACAACCACAAGAAAAGTATATGGAACAAGTACGTCGCAGGAGAAAGGAAGACTCCAGAATTCAAGGGAACACTGGAGAAGCAAAAAGATCATTGGGACAATTTCGTGAAATTCAAGGAATCATAATTA